CCCCCCCCCCCCCCCCCCCCCCGCTCGCAGCCAGACCCCCCCTGCCCGCCTCGTCACCCTGCTGCTGGCTGGCCGCTCACCTCCTTACTCCTCCCCCAGGGCCCCCCCACCACTCGCCTCTTCACACACCCCCGCCCGCTGCCGTCTTCTCACCCCCTCCTTGCTGCCTCACCTGCTCCTTAAGCGTTGTGTGTCCCACCTGTGTCTTCAGAGAGGCAGCACACGCAGGAGCAACAGGGCGGAAGGGGAGGGACTGATGCTGCACAGGAAACTGTCGTGGCCCCAGGGAACCCTCTGGTGGCCGCATGCGGCCACGGTGGCTGCATTGGAGAAACGGTGCACTAAAACATGACTCGTTTTATTTTTAGGTTGGCTTAGAGATTCCCTCACTTGTCCTCATCCCCCTCCCCCTTGCACTTTAAACGTGTGCCTTGTGAGGCTCTAAGCTCTTGCTGCTCCCTAATGAGCCAGTGGAACTCACTGCCACAAGGTTTCACTAAAGCCAAGAACAAAGCAGGTTTGGGTGTCTCCACAGGTAACAGAAACATCCAGAGTTAGAATAGCAAATATTACAACATAGTGGAGTTTAGGGACAGATTTGCTGCTACAGGGCCTGGGCTGTTGGGGGCTAGGAGGAATTTTCTCCCGGGACCAGGTTACTCCATTGCTGTCTACTGGGGGGGCTCCTTCCACCTTCTTCTGAAGCCGCTGCTGTCGGCCACTGTAGGAGTCTGGGCTAGATGGGCCCCCTGCTGCAATCCAGTGTGGCTATTCCTGTATTTCATGTGAGGATTTCGAGGGGCTGATGTCCACACTGATTAATGGAGCCCCCTCTGGCCCAGTGTCCCATGGTGTAAGAGGAGCTTATCTGTGCTGACTTGAGTCATATCCTCATTGCTGCCTCATATCCAGGGGGGAAGCACTGGGTATTTTGGGGAAGGTGTCATTCCTCCTCTAGGCCACAGGGTGGCCCTGTAGCCTCTCCATAGCAGATCTCCTGGCTTTGCAGGTGTAACAGGCTATGGATCCTCAGGACAGCTGATCTTCCAGTCGCTGTGGCTTCCCTGTCCCTCCTTCTAAGCCCCATTGTCCAGGGAGGCACCATGGAGCTGGGCTGTGCAGGGAGTGCCCATCCCCCCAGCCTGGGCTGCCCCCCTTCAGTTGCCACCCCAGATTCAGCTGCACCCAAGCCCCTTTGTGAGCAAGGAGCATGGGCCAGGGTTACCCTACTTGGGTGGGAGCTAGATTTTGGTCTGTGGTTATGATACAGCAGGTGCTGTACTTGATACAGATGCAGCCACCTGGACAAGGGGGCTCCATGACCGGCAAGTTCTCCGGAGACCCGGTGCCTGGGCTCGGTCGACTTGCTGCTGCTAACCAAGATCTCCTCCCTATGCCCTGGAGCTACAGACAAGCCACATAACAGGCTCCCCAGCTGTCCACACACCAGGCAGGGACGTTTCTGGAGCAGCCGAAGGCCTCACAGGGATGGAGCAGAGATGGGCGTGGCGAGCATCTGCTTCACGTGAGATGGCAGGGTCTCGAAGAGGGCGTTATCCACGCTCAGCCCGGTCTCCTTAAGCAGGGGGCAGCAGCCTAGCTCAAGTGGGAGTGACTCCAAGGGGTTCCCTGTCAGCTCCAGCCTGGAGAGTAGCACCAACCTCCCGATCTCAGCCGGCACAGTGGTCAAAGCGTTGTCCGCCAGCTGCAAAGAAGTTAGCTCCAGGCAGGCAAAGAGCTGGCTGGGCAGTGCCCTGATCCTGTTGCCAGTGATGGAGAGTTGCTGCAGCATCCCCAGCTGGCCAATCTCTGCAGGGAGGA